AAACCAAAGGAGAAAGAACTCAATATTTCACCACTGACTGATGTTATTTGTAAGTTACTTAGGTACACTTGATTGACAGGACAGTTCTAGTTGTCACTGTCGTAGAGCTCTGGGGAGCCACTGTGTTTCAGCAAATGCCTTTTCCTGCATCTATGAAGTTAACCATAGTACTTCTGCATTCTGTTGATAAGGTAAGTTTCATTGAGTAATTTTTTGAAAATGCAAAACCAAATTTTTATTCTTAGGATAAACCCCATGTGAGTGTGCAGCACTGTACAATACTTTTTAGACATTGCTGGATTTTCTGGCTTTTTTCGGGAAGGATTTTCAGACCTCTGCTAGCAAGGCACACTGCTCTGAAGTTTTTTTCTTTTTCTTGTAAAATCTTTGCTTTTGGTATCCAGGCAGTGCTGGCCTCATAAAATGAGCATCAAGTGTGCTTCTTCTACTTTTGAAAGAGTTTGGGTAAAACTGATGTCACTTCTTTCTTAAATACGTGGCAGAATTTGCCAGTGAAACCATCTGGGCCTAGATTTTTTGTTTATTTTTGCAATGTTTCAAAGCATGAATTTAATATTTTAAGTAGATACAGGACATCTAGCTTATTTTTATTTTTTGGCGAGATTTGGTACTTTGTATGTGGCTTGCAAGCAATATGTTCTTTCAAGTCTTGGAATTTATGAGCACAAAGTTGTTTGTGATATTATAGAATTCCATAGGCATTGTAATTATGTCCTCTCTTTCATTCATGATATTAGTAATTTATTTCTCTTCCTCTTTTTCTGGATCACTAAATATTTATTAATTTAATGGATCATTTAAAAGTGCCAGGTTTTTTATTTCATTGATATTTTTCTATTATTTCTTTTCAATTGCACTCATTTCTATTCATTTTGCTGCTTCAATTAGGTCTAACTTAGATTTTTTTTTTCAACTTTTCAATCCAGATCCATTCAGCAGAAAGCAAGCATGTGACAGGATCTTGCTGAGTTGCCCACGATGAGCTCAAACTTGGAATCCTCCTGCCTCAGCCTCCCCAAGTGTTGGAATTGCAGGCATGCACTATGTGTGGGGGCGGGGAGTGGGTGGTGGGTGGGTGTGTGTGTATAACCTGGGATTGAACTCAGGTCCTTGCGCTTGCCAGGGAAGCACTTATTCCACTGAGCCATCTCCCCAGCTCCAGGCATGCACTATTATACCCTGATAAATAACCATTTAAAAATAAAAATTAACAAACTGGATCTGCACAGATGGAAAAAGCACAGGAAAGTCCTGAAAAGGGGAGGGGAACAATCTCAGGCCCAGCCTCCTCGAGAGGGGGGATTGCAGTCTTTGATGATGGAGGCTCCTGGGTTTCATGGGTGGAATCTGGTCCACAGAAGAAGCAGAACCTACTCTCTGGGGTGCAAGGGGAGGGGCTGAACTTAGCAGGCAGAGATGCAGGGAGCAGGAAAAACCCAGAGGCACTATGGGAAGGAGGCTGGAACACGTGGGGTCTGCTCTGGGAGGAAACTCGGGTGCCACAGAAGATGGCCTCACAAAGGGAATTGGAGGTGAGGTGCAGGACGAGCCCCCAGGCCCCATTGGACCTGATAACCTGGCACACTTCCGTGTGTCACCTGGACCACTGTCAGGATGAAGATGGACAGGCCAGCTCACATGTAGCCAGCCCTGTGGGAAACCCCTGAGATTAAGGCAGACAGCAAGGCATAGGGATCTGCAGTGCTTGTGGGTGGTTGTGTGGGATAAAATGTAGGCAACAGCCGTGTGGCTACCCATGGAACCCCTGAGTGTGGTGTAGGGACAGGAAGAGTCAGTGACCCAATGCCTACAGTTCTCACCAATGATAGCACAGGCTGCAGCCAAGGCCCTGGAGAGGGCTGCACCCTGCACCTCGGGGCTGGAGGAGCCCACAGGCAGGGAAGCACGTGCATCTTGCCCCGAGCATCAAACACAGGGGTCACTGCACCCCTCCACAAACATTCAGTTTTGACAGGAAAAGCAACAGGAAACTCCTTTCAAAGGTTAGCTAGAAAAATGCTATTAGTGAAGTTATGTAAATATCCAGTAAAACCAGCTTTATTGTATAAAAATGAGGGGAAAATGTGATGCAGGAAGGCCTGAGATGCTGGCAAGAAAGGGCATGAAGAGAGGCACCTGTAGGTGCCTCACTTCACATAGACACACGTGGGGTCTGGGTGTCCTGGCCACCAGAGGACACTGGCTCTGTGGGCTCAGCTCGGACCAGAGCAGATTAAGATGGACAGGAGACTCCTGAGGCCACACAGGTTGCAGCTGCAGCTTGGTGGAGCTCTGGAACAGTTTTTGGAGAAGGGCAAAAAGATTGATTCATTTTATGTTTTGTTATATCGGGGGTGTGCATTTTCATGACTAACCCCTGCATGATATATATTTAATGAGCAAGCTAGTAGATGACAAAAGAAAAAAGAAATGAAAAGGAAAAACAAAACCCAGAAACTTCAATCAATTTCAAGAGCTCAAAGAAAGATCAGAAACCACAGGACAAACGTGACAGACAGGGAGCAAGGAGCGAAATGGGAAGGCGGGAATAACACAATATTCACAGCGAGTCTGATCTTCCAATCAGAGGGTGTTGGTCAACAACACACTCAGACACACACACACACACACACACACACACACACACACACGCAGACAAAGTTTAAAAGAGATGCACCTAAAAAGGAAAAAAAGAAGTATTCAAACTGCAAACACCATTCCTAACCGCTGAGCTTTATTCGGACCTATTAGCATAACTTTAATTTTATAGGAAAACAAATTACAGAAGAAATTACTCCAAGAAACAATTCCTCAGTACACTGGGAGATCAACTGGCACACTTGCCTAAGCCACTGACAGAATAAACAGATGCAAATCAGTGAGGATTTAGAACATTAGGACAACAACGTGACAAGTGGGGTCCACAGACTATTTATAGAATTCTGAATGAATGGGGAGCACGCTTGCTTGGTAAGGAGATGCTACAGAATCAGTCATGAGTCAGATCATAAACTAGGTCTCAGAGGCTCGAGACTTAGTCTCAAAGAACCACAGTTCTCAGATCACATACAACAGATTTAAAGTCAATAAGAATTAAACCCTAAAACCTAAAAGTATTAGTAAAGTTGAAATTTTGTAAGTATATTTTTATTTACTCATGGGTTTTAAAAAGTCTTGTAATGAACATTTGAGGATACTTAAGACTAAATAAACAATGATGAAAATACAAAAAAATGAAAATAAATATACTACTGTATGGTAATTAGAGGGTGCTTTATAATCATAAATCTATATATAAGGAAAAAAACTAAAAATTAGTTACTTAAGTATTTCATTTAAAAAACTGGAATATGGGCCGGCCAGATAGCTCAGCAGATTAAAGTGCTTGCTTAGGCAGATTTAGGGACCGGGGTTTGATCCCCAGCATGCCATGCTGGCCCCACCCCAGGGGTGCATTGAGACAGCGATTGAGATTGGGCGTGGTGGTGCATACCTGTAATCCCAGCACTTGGATTGAAAACAGGAGGATCACTAGGAGTCTGATCTGTGTAGCGAGACCCTGTAGACCCTGTACTAAATAAATAAATAAAAAGCTGGAAAATGAACCCAGTGTGGTGGACAGCC